CAATGTTGCATCCTCTCTATTGAGTATATTGTGCAAGGCCTGGAACCTATTGGTGAGGGCTATCTTGAATTCGTTGAGTTTTACGGTATCCCGAAGAAAGGCTGTATTAAACTTCTGTGATGTTGTCTGCCCCGATGTCCAGTGCTTCCTTAGTTTCGGTTTCATTTTGACGACCAGCAGGTGGTGATCTGAAGCTATATCTACTCCTCTCTTGGTTCCCACATCCTCCATAGTCCTTCTGAACGTTTTGTTGATACAGATATGATCAATTTGGTTTTGAGTAGTGTGGTCCGGTGAAATGCATGTAGCTTGTTGAATGCGTTTGTGCGGGAATATTGTGCCACCGATGACCAGTTTGTTGAAGGCACATAGGTTTTCAAATCTCTCACCGTTTTCGTTTCTTTCTCCCAGTCCATGTCGTCCCATGACGTCTTCATATCCAGTGTTGTCCATTCCAACCTTGGCATTCAGGTCTCCCATAAGAATCGTCAAATCCTTTGGTGAGCATCTGTCGACGATTGACTGCAGCCTTTCGTAGAATTGATCTTTAACGTCGTCATTGTAGTCATTGGTAGGTGCATAACATTGGATGACGTTCATTGTAATGTCCTCTTTCTTTGTTTTGAAGGATGCTTTAATGATCCTGAGTCCATGAGATTCCCATCTTGTTAGTGCCTTTTGTGCATGTTTGGACAGCATCAGTGCAACTCCTTGTGTATGTGAAGCATTTTCCTCTTCATGACCAGAGTATAACAGCAGTTCCCCTGAAGCTAGTCTCAGTTGTCCTACCTGTGTCCCATGCGTTTCACTGATGCCGAGCACTTCGAGGTTGTATCTTTTCATTGCTGCCGCAACTTGAAATAGTCTTCCGGTCTCCCACACTGTACGAACGTTCCATGTACCTAAAAGATGGTTGCTCTGGTTGTCAGAAGAGGCATCGGCCCCGTGACTTTCGAGGGAACTCGGCTTTCATCACGCGACGTCATAATTCTTCTTCCAACTCCCAGGGCAGAGTTAAAATGGTTTGAATTATTTTTTCTGGTTAGCGTTTTTTTGGCAAGTTAGAATTCGACGGAATGGGGTCGACAACCCCATGTCCAACCCTCCTCCTTTACCCGGGCTTGGGACCGGTAGTAGCCCCTAAGGTTCGACTGGCGGAGTTATAATGATATTACTATATTCCAGTCTCAGAAGCATAGATATTTAAATATTTTTGAACGTATCTTCCCTGATCAAGGCATCACAAAAAATTATTGAAGAATTTAACTAAAGACTAGTTATTCATTCAGAATTATAGTGTTGACTCTGTTATTGCCATTATATGTTATAGTGGCCATCATTGTAATCTTTTCATTTAAACAAAATAATATGCAGATATACAAATTAATGAACAAATAAGAATGAATTTGATTAGAGGTTAGTCATCAGAAAAAAAACATACAAATAGCAATTATGGTAATTAAAGATCATTCATTCTCTAACGAAATTACTCTCTAACCAGTGAATTTAAGTCGTGTCTTGTTACGTCAGAATTATCATACTCAACTGAATCAATCAGGCTTCGTTAGAAAATAACTATGTTATATCAGTTTCTAGTAATAAGATTATTATTATTATTATTATTATTGGTAAATTTCTAATAAGAATATAATCATAATTTAATTTTTAAAAGTTCAGATGATCTCGCTATCGATTTACTGACTGATATTCCATCATTCTTGATTGGCATTAGGTGAATCCCTTGCAGATTGCATTGATAGAACCATTAATGACTGAAGTTTTTATAGAATAGATGGAGTGTGGTTAGCAGTGGAATTCATGACAACCATTCCATCCGAAATGGAATTTTTCAGTGGCAAGACAATAATTTATGAACGGGTCGATGAAATTTAAGATAACAATTCTGGGATATTAGCGCGAAGTTCGTCTATTCATATGGTCGAATAATATTTTGGCATTACTTCTGTTGTCCGTTTGAGATAAAAACGTTGACGCCATTCTCGAACTCTAATTTCTAATTCTAAATACTGATTTGAATTCCTCACATTAATCTATGACCTTTTTTCGACTCTAGTTAGCAGGTAAATTTTCTCAATGTCATTTATGGATCTCCATAAATTTTAGTCTGACCTTAGTCAGTTTATGGAACAACTACAAATTAAACTAGATATCTTACTTGTTGCAAAAGTGACTATTTGACACTCAGCAATTGATTGACTAATGTGTTTAACACCTAAAGAGGAAGGCATTGAGTTTGAATCTCAATTCTGCGATTCACACACATCCAGCTGACGAATGCCAATCAGGGCGAAACGCATATCATGGATCTCACTCGTAACCATCATTCATCTATTTTAAATAAAATAATCATAGTTCAGCTTGTATTTTCTTTTCTGCTGATTGTTTGAAAACTAAAACAGTGTTGTATTATCATATTGATGGGGTGGGGCGGAAAGTGACATTTTCTTTTTATCATCAACTTGACGTGTTTATCATTATGATATATTTGTTCAACTTTTTGAAATGGTTGTTAAAGTTTTCAGTTAAACCATACAGTTTGACTTATAGAGATTTTATCAATACATAAAAGTAATGCATTAGAAATGTAGATTAGGAAGAATAGCTTATAAACTTGTCACTAATATAGTTATTTTTTTGTATAGTTCAACTATTACTTGAACAGTTTTCAGTGTGACCAGTTTAGAAGTGAGATTTATTCGTTATTAAGAACTTAAAAAATGATATGTGTATCGGGTAAAAACATAATTATTTACAATTTGATACATTTTCCTATTGTGTTACTCACATAGTAATAATAAACGAATTACAGATATCTTTAATGGCAACCTCTAAGATGCTTTAACTTTTGTAATTCATATATTAGTGGGATAAATTCACAAGGTTGGGAATTTGCTTTAGCTTTTATCCCCAAGTCAGTTAGTTAGTTAGCTAGTTAGAAGTTAATTAAATAGGCCATTTCCATTTGTCTTGTTTATTTTGTATTCTGGAATCAGTTCGGTGAGTAAATTGTCTGTTTGATCATTTCAATCATTTATATAGTTCTATTAACGACCGATAAACTATGAAACTTTCTGTGACCATTTAGTAATTCATTCAGTTTGAAATATAATTTAAACAATCATTTAGTTTCATGGTATTTTATTGAGTTCAATATCAAATTCGGTTAAATTTATAGATTGAAATATCTCATTAGTAATGCCTTCATCTAAACTAATCCCTAATCAGTTTAACAGTTCATTTAGTGTTATCAGAAACATTACATAACTTAATGTGTAAGTGACAAGTGTTACTTGCTTAAACTCACAATAAAACATCAATTTTGCATAAAGTAAACTCAAACTAATGACGCAAACAAGAAAGAAATGAGAAAAAAAAACCAACTAATTTTAGATACATAATGATTAATGCGCTTGATGATATTGATCAAGTTGACATTGTTAGAAATAACCATATCCGAAAAGGAAGTTGATTTCATCTGAAGGAATAGCATGGAACTGATCAACATCACCATAATGAGAAACTCTGTAGATAATTACCCTTTCGTATCACTTATTATCACTATAAGTTAAGTATCACATTATTGTACATTTTCTTAAAAGATATCAAATTCTCTCTCTCTCTCTCTATATATATATATATATACATATATATATATATATATATGTATTACGGGGTTGTGAAGATTGTTAAGTTACACATATTTGAAACCATGAACCGATCAATGTTAGACCACCATTAGAAACTTGGAAGCACTGAACGGCCGTTTCGTCCTGGTATGGGACTCTTCGGCAGTGGGCATCCACGACCACTGAACCCTGCAGGATTCGAACCCAGGACCTTCGGTATTGTGCGCCAACGCCCTAACCGTTAGACCACTGAGCCGCGATCCAACGGTGTTAATTTCTAACTTGATCAAATTCACGGAGTTGCTCAACCTCATACACAGTCTTCGGTAAACACTGCCTACACCCGAACAGGTTGCAGGAGTCGTGGATGCGCACTGCTCTGGAGTCCCATACCAGGACGAAACGGCCGTCCAGTGCTTCCAGGTTTCTAATGGTGGTCTAACATTGATCGATTCATGGTTTCAAAATAATATATATATATATACATAGAAATGATACATTTTATTTCATAATCTTTTTTTTCTGCTGCAATTTTTATTTGCTACTCAATGTTATTAGAAAAGAAAAAAATAGTTAAGTAAATGTTGAACAACAACAGTATTGAATTAAAATGCAATTGCATCAGGATTATTCTTTTCATTTATATCGAATAAACGATAAAACTGGAAAAAGATACATTTTCTGTGGATTATTTTCTATTCAGTCAATCGATTTTGTTTACTGAATTGAGTTTGTACATTGAGACAGGTATTTTCAACCATGGTTTTCTATTTATGACTCATAGTTTTTGAATGAAACAACTAATGTCCTGAAATTTTTATTCAATCTGTAAACAATTAATCCCTTTTCATGATTAAGGCAAAAAAACCCAAAATGGAATACGCCCAAATTTACCAAGTTTTCAATTGTGTTTCTTACATAAACACAAATGTAAGCTGAGTGCGCCCATCGTTTAATAGGTTCAATAGTTTTTGTACTACTATACAATAATTTCATTTGTCAATGGACAATATAACTGAGACCAATAAACTTAAAACTGAAATCAACCAATCAATTTTTACTAGTTACCAATCCGTTGATTGATCATGTGGTGGTAGTTGACCTTGTAATAAACTTACTCCCATATAATAAGAGAATACAATCGGAGTCTATTCACAGTAATTTTGTTCAAATTTACAGTTTACTAAAAGCATGTGGATATTTGGTTTCAAATAAAAAAAAAAAAACAACTGTAAATCAAACGAAAATAATACGTACACATATCATTTTAAAAAAATAAATTCTTTGTGTTATCATTATCAATATACGGTTGACTTTGTGTATTTCGTACACTTTTTTTTTAATCATTGAATCATGTCACAAGAACCTTGGCGTTCTAAAACTGAAAGTGTCAGTTCACTGGATCGATTAGCTAGAAGTACCTTATCAATGGATTTACCTGAAGCTAGAAGTTGTCGTGAAGCTCGTGAACAAAGTCGTAAAGAAATGCATGTTTTAAATGAAAAACTGGCTTCACAACTTGAAAAGGTAACTTTACATCCGAATGTTCTGTTGTTTTGTTGTTATTAAATTAGACTTTGAAATTCTTAATTGCATATACACCCCTTTTATTGCAATGTTTTGATGAATTACACATGATTGCGAGATTCGTTTTCACCATACAATTCGGTTATTTCATGTAGTTGGGAACTTTGATGTCAGTTTATTTTAGCTGTGAACAATTTCAGTGTTTAAATGGAATAATTTGATCTATTGACCGTATCTTGTTCGATACAGTCTTATCTTGATTGGCAAGCAGTAATCGATTTGTTTAATCTCAATTAAGCAGCAAGGTTGTAATTTGAGGAAGACGATTGTTCGTTCTCAAGACAATCTCAAGTCGGATAGGAAAGTGACTTTCGTAAGTAGTGACAGTGTGAATAGGGTGAAGACATTTTCTAAAAGACGAGCTTCACATTGTTTATTGGGAGTGTGTACGAAAGACAGCTTACTAGTTTGTTCATCCAAAATCAGACAATCTTTCTACTATATTATCGATTTTCTTGATTTAGTTTCAAGTTGTTAGACTTGCAGATATAGGAGATATTAGCTATCGATTCAATATGTAGAAGATTGCTTCTGAGTCTCGTCTCTATTGGTAATTTCTAGAGTATATTGATAGTTAGCAGCCTTATTTTACCGATAGAAGTAGTAAATGATTCAACCTTTTTAAATGTTTCTGTGCGTACACAAGTCTGCATATAGAAACTAAAAATTGGAAATGTGTCCTAGCAACTTAAAATATGGATTTTCCAAGGAAATAGTTCTCCAAGTCTTTTTTTTGCCTAAACCAGATAGGACAGTCTGACACTGAAACTTGTGTTAACCACAACTTATGACTTGAAAATGCTGAGTACATTTTCTTATGTCAGATTGTCACAAGTATCCACAGAATCTTCTTTCCAATAGTTTTGATTGATTGGTTTCGATCCAATGAAGTCATGTGTTTATCGTCTGGACAGTGTGAATAATACGCATATCTGATAATGTCAATATATCACACTAGAAGAATTATGAAAAAAACTATTCATCTTTCTCTTAGAAACTTAATTGGAAGAATGAAGTCGGAAAAGTTGAACGTGGTCTATGATTAACTACATCATTTTTTAAAAGTGTTCAGCTAATTTTTCACAATGAGTATATTCCATTCACTTAAAAGTTACAGGGACTCTTTGACAGTAAAGAAACTCAATGTGTTTCCACGTTATTCTGTCAAACTTACTAAGGTGGATGCGAAGGTCAACTTTCTCAAAGATCATATTAGAAAAAAAGCATGAATATTCAAAAGGCTAGAATGAGATATCTTTGTTGAATCAAGTTTTCTAGTTGTTTGTTATCGATTAAATGGATATTATCTGTTTATTTCAACTAATTCCATGTGTTATCTAGCCTTGATAATCTGATTTATTTTAGGAATAATTAGATTAGATGGTTAGTTAAACTATTTATTACTGAAATATTCTAGTTTTTGTACTTAGACCAATCCATATATTTATCGGAATTAGACATTAACACCGTTGGATGCCGACGGGCTCAGTGGTTCAGACTTTAGGCGTTTGCGCGCTAGACCGAAGGTCCTGGGTTCGGATCTCGCGATTAGCAAGAGTCGTGGATGAGCAGTGTTGGTGAATCCCACACCAGGACGAAACGGTTATCCAGGTTTCTTAAGGAGGTATAACAATGATGGATTCATAATTTCATTGATAAATAAACCTTAGAATAAGCATTTTCGAATTTCATTTTGCGTTTTTCAAGTCGATTCGAGGTAAAAGTGATCAGTCATATTGAAAAAATCACTGTTTTTATGAAATTCGATCACTTATAAAACAATCAGTGTAAAGACATTGAAATTCCAATATGCACAAAGTGATGAAGTGAAAGTGACTAGATTGTATTCAAGATAAAAAATGATGCCACTAGTGTTCAACTCTTTCTTTACCTTATCATAAATCTATCTTTATGAAAAACTTCTTCATACACCTACAAAGATTGTCATCTAGAGACTCTTTCAAACAATACATCTGATAATGATGGGGATGTTAGATCCCCAGAACTCGCTTGATAAATATTTTTATTTTGGAGTTATTTCGTGGGCCGATCAGTTGACCTTGAGATCACATTTCCCACCACCAGGAAAGATAAGTTTAGTAACAAATCGATCGAAGTCGAAAGTTCTTATATGAGTTCTATGCGTTAAGGTTTTTTTTTCAAAAATAATGACTACTGAATTCGAATTGTTTTTGTATGGGAAAAGTCAGTTACTTATGGGTTGTGTTGATTGATCTCAATTGAGATATCACTAGAAACTAAATAGTACTGAAAAGCTGGTTCATGGAACTCCTCTGCATTACATACATTCAGCCCTATCACTGATTAAACCCAGCTTCCACCATAAGTTGTCCTAATTAGGGTTTACAGGAAGAGTGGAATTAATAGATAACTTGAGTAATCTAACTGTAGATCTATGGCAGTGTTGATTAAAACCTGTTTGTTTTTCATTTACCTTTCCATTTCTACTAATTTACTCGAATAGGTGAAATATTTTGAATTTGTCAATTCTGATGTCTGTGAACACTAAAAAAAACTTTCTGTACTGAATTTCAAGTCAAATTTATTGTTTGACATCTGAAAAAACAAATGACTTAATTAGATAAAGAGTAGTTCAAACTATAATCAGTTAGTTTTCATTGGAATCCTTGAATCATTGTGCCTAATCGATGATAATGATGTTTGTTTATAGTGTACAATTATCAATAATGACCTGATATATGAACATTAGTGAAGTGTTGAAAAGAAAAAATTCATCTCAAACAAAAATAGTATAATTATTCCAAAATAAGTCTTTTTTTTAGTCAGGTCAATTTAATAATGTGAACAGTTTGAACATTTGAAATTTTTTAAAATGATGGTTTGTTTTTTTAAAAAAAACTATTCAACTTTACAATGATAATAATCAGGTGTAAAATATAATTTTTAAATGATTTATTTTTTGCATTTTTATGCAGTCAACTTTACAATTATACCAAAAAAGTAAAAAATAAAATCTACTTAATATTAGATGAAGAGGGTTTTCTTTTGGAAATCAATCAAACAAACAAACGAACTGATCAATTGATTATTGAAAGAATTTAAATTTTCTAGAAATTCATTTTGCTTTAACTTTCAAATATGGATTGTTGCATAGAATCGATATTTTTATAGGAAATTATAAAGATTTTCTCATGTTAATCCATTCATAAGTAGTTTAATGGAATGTAAACAAACCCGACTAATCTCATTCTACATTGGATAGGCAAAGAAGAGGTGAAGAGGTGGTGGGGGGGGCGGGCGATTGATTCTATACTACCACTGTTGTGAAGAGAACTTTTTAACTGCAAAATTACAATCTATTAGAGGTGGTTAGGATTCAATCAATACGTATGTATATCAATCTAGTTATTCTGCTAAGAATAGAATAGAAAATGCCTAATGCAATACAAATAACGCTCATAATATATTCATAGACAGAGATAGATGAGAGAAATAGAATATTTGATTTGAAAATACAATAATAGTAGTGATATGAATTGTAGTTGAGTAGTAGTATTTTTAATATTGGTAATTAGAATCAACTGAAAATCAACCTTACCATTATGATACTTGAATGCATAGAGATTGACGATCAATTAGTATCGATATTTGCACTGATTGAAAAAACTGCCAGTCAAATTTTATTGACTTTGGCCTCCGATTCAAATGACCTTGAAATCGTTGACAATGGTGTTTACAAGCTTGCTGCTAATCATTCAGCTATTGTTGAGCTTATATCATCAGTTCATTCATTTAAGGTGGTCAGATATAGATATTTTATAACTATACTCTGACAATGTGAGACGTGTCTATTGAGTTTTAATCCTCACTATGTCTAAGCACTCTTGTCTTTAATTGATAAACTCTAGTTGTTACGGTTGGGGATGAACTTCATTGTTAGTTGACATTTTATGTCGTATCTAGGAAGTAATCAAAATGAAGCGGGAATAATTATTTTGCCTCAAAGCTTCTAGTATTCACTAATGTAATGCTGTATGCTGAAAGTAACATTATAGCATGGAAAAATTCACCCCTCTAATCGATAATATTATCGTCGAAAATATGTATAATTTAACAATTAACTGACTATGTGATACTTTTAGATAACGTGACAACTGGAAGTTTATCCTCACTTAGTAGTAGTAGTATTTCAATGATCACAATCTACAATCGCATTATTTTTACTGAAGCTACTTTTCAAATAGAAGATGACTCATAATTAACTCTTACATGATAATAAACGATTAATTAGTTTCGTATTATCAATGAAATCACTTGACTGACCTAAGTGCTTTTACTCATGGAACCAATACGATTGAATCTAAATCAAAGTGACCTATTTATTGACAATCGGACTGGTTGAATAGGTTTGTAAATCAAAATTGATTTATGATGTATAAGTAATATTCATTTAACAATGAATAGGTGATGAAACACTTAGTGAAGCTTTCCTTTTCATACATTAATTCAATTTAAAATGAAAAGTGTTAAGTGATTATGAATAAATGTAAAGTGAACAGAGTAATCAATAAAACTGAACCTCCCCCTGCCATACGTATCATTGTTAACTAAAGTTTGATTTGATTGGTCGTTGTGAGTAGAATCTAGTTCAGTGCTCCAGTGGTTAGGCGTTCGCGTACAAGAACGAAGGTTTTTTGGATTAGAATGCTACCAGTAACAGAAGTCATGAATGTGCATTATCACTGGTGAGTCCCACAGCAGGACGAAATGGCCATCCATTGGTGCTTTCAGGCTTCTTCCTCAAGATGGTCTCACCATGATTCATACATGATTTCAATGTAAAAACAATCAATTTATAATCATCTATCAATCCGTAGAAAACTTCAACATTTTCTATTGTTTCGTCATTTCGTGTAGGCAGTGTCTACCGAAGACTGTGTATGAGGTTGCGCAACTCC